CAAGTATATTTTTTTAACGAAATCTGGCCCTAAAGCGAGCAAAGGCACGTTTTCTGGGGGTGGGTTAGTGAATGAATATTACAGTGAAAGGTTCAAATCTTAATTGATTATTTATTAAAGAAGGGAGCTTCTTGGATCACCAATTCTTTATTTTTTTTTCCAGATTACAATAAGCAAAAACAACACTGAACCCTTACTCCCTCGAAACTGCAAGTAGCTCAGAAAGTGAGAAATCATTAGATGATTTTTAATTGTTTTTAATTGTAAATTAAAATTTTATTGTACAATTTTATTGTAATTTTTTTTAAAAAAAATTATCTGAGCCACCTCAGGTCCCTTTTGGGAGAAAGGTGGCATACCAGTGAAAGAAATGAAATGTAATGAAATAATTGTCCACAGGAAGGTATCTGTAAATAAATGTATCTGTAAATAAATATTGGATGTTTTTAACAGGGCATCTCAAAAGGATGGATTGAGTCAGCTCAAATGGATCAGATGGGGGAAGAGGAGAGAGAGGGGAAAAATCCAGCTTTTAAACTTCTCTCATAAGGAAATAATTGTATTTTTAAATTGTCTTAAAAAATCATTCTACACCCTTTTAAGAATGGAAATCAAATTGTCACGCTGATCTTTTACAGAGCTTAAAATGGCCCTCCTGTTTACACTCTTGGTAGTTCTTAAAATAAGGGATCATCTACACTTCATCTTTACAAGGAAGAGTTATTTTCTAAAACAAACATTAAGGCAAGTAAAGTAGTCCAATAACCTGGAACGGAGATGGCACTTAACATCTTTGTGAATCAGAAAACTTTCCAAAACGTGACAACAACAACAACAAAAAACAACCAAATATTGAGAAGCTTTGCATTTCTAAAACAGGAATACTTGAGATTGACTAGAATGCTTGACCCTAAAGAATAAGTAAGATCCATCTGCAGCATTAAGGTTTGTGGTTTGAGATAATAAATTGCACCGATTGCAATAAAATATGGGGAGCTGAGCCTGGGAAAAGGAATTCTGGAGATGGGAGGTTTCCTTCCCAACAGTCTTCCAAAAGTGTGGGTTGGTGTGAGTCCCCAAAAGGTGTAAGTTCAAGGGATCCATGGACAAAAATGCACACTACGCCTTCATTGCGTCTACTCTCTGTACCTACACAATAGAAAGAATGTGTGTGTGTGTGTGTGTGTGTAAGAGTATGGTGTAGTGGTCTGAGTGTTGGACTATGACTCTGGAGACCAGAGTTCGAATCCCATCTTGGCTATGTAAACCCACTGGGTGGACTTGGGCAAGTCACACTCTCTCAGCTTCAAAGGATGGCTATGACAAACCCCCTCTGAAGAAACTTGCCAAGAAAAGTCCATAAGAGGTTCACATTAGGGTCACCTAAGTTGGAAATGATCTAAAGCAGGGGTAGGCAACCTTTCCCCTTTAAGGGCCGA